AGCTACATACACAAAAATCATACAATCTACCCTCATGGCTACACTCCCAATTTCATGGCTACACTCCCAATTTCATGGCTACACTCCCAATTTCATGGCTACACTCCCAATTTCATGGCTACACTCCCAATTTCATGGCTACACTCCCAATTTCAACATCTCACAGGGACATTGGAAATCAGGCGTCATTTCAAAATTCACTCTTAAGAAGTACATACCAGCGCCTAACCCAATAAAGAAAGCCAACAAAACTTCTGGAATCACATAGAACAAAGGAACTTCCTACCCAAATTTTTACATTACTTTAGGACCTGACTATTCACCCATCAACCGCTTGACACGTCCCTCCAATCACGTGTACGGTGTGAGGTGCAGTCACGTGTACGGTGTGAGGTGCAATCACGTGTACGGTGTGAGGTGCAGTCACGTGTACGGTGTGAGGTGCAATCACGTGTACGGTGTGAGGTGCAGTCACGTGTACGGGGTGAGGTGCAGTCACGTGTACGGGGTGAGGTACAGTCATGTGTACGGGGTGAGGTGCAGTCACGTGTACGGTGTGAGGTGCAGTCACGTGTACGGGGTGAGGTGCAGTCACGTGTACGGGGTGAGGTGCAGTCACGTGTACGGGGTGAGGTGCAATCACATGTACGGTGTGAGGTGCAATCACATGTACGGTGTGAGGTGCAATCACGTGTACGGTGTGAGTTGCAGTCACGTGTACGGGGTGAGGTGCAGTCACATGTACGGTGTGAGGTGCAATCACATGTACGGTGTGAGGTGCAATCACGTGTACGGTGTGAGGTGCAGTCACGTGTACGGTGTGAGGTGCAATCACATGTACGGTGTGAGGTGCAATCACGTGTACGGTGTGAGGTGCAGTCACGTGTACGGGGTGAGGTGCAATCACATGTACGGTGTGAGGTGCAATCACGTGTACGGTGTGAGGTGCAGTCACGTGTACGGGGTGAGGTGCAATCACATGTACGGTGTGAGGTGCAATCACGTGTACGGTGTGAGGTGTAGTCACGTGTACGGGGTGAGGTGCAATTTTCCTTATATATTCTTGTTCTCATCTCAGTTATTGAAGAGAACCCCAGAAAGTAATCGAAATATACAGACCATGTTGGTTGTTAATGACACGAGTGAGATTTATATATATCAACTACGTGTGGAGCTTGTCGTCACTACTTCGCCGTCCAGGTCATTCCACCGGGGGCTAAAGAAGTGATTCCTGACATTCCTATTACCCCTCAGTGGCTTTAGCTTCTAACTACTCTCTTTTGTACCAGTTTCAAGCCTCTTAGACAGTATATCCTTGTATATCCCATCAACTCCTTGGAATATCTTTTATATCGTTATCCTGTATCTCTGATTCTTCTTTTTTTCTGATGTCGTCAGGAGCATTTCCTTTATTTTCTCACCGTAGCTCATTACTCCAAACTCTGGCGCTGAACTCGTCGCAAATCTCTATACTTCCTCTAGTTTCTTGATAGGCTTCATCACGCGCGCGCGTGTGTACGTGTGTGTGTGTGTGTGTGTACTCGCCTATTTGTAGTCACCTATTTGTGGTTGCAGGGGTCGAGATATAGCTCCTGGTCCCGCCTCTTCACTGATCGCTACTAGGTCCTCTCTCGCCTTGCTCCATGATCTTTATCATACCGCGTCTTAAAACTATGTATGGTTCCTGCCTCCACTACATCGCTTGCCAGACTGTTCCACTTCCTGACAACTCTCTGATTAAAGAAATACTTCCTAACATATCTTTGACTCATCTGAGTTTTCAACTTCCAATTGTGGCCCCTTGTTTCTGTGTCCCATCTCTGGAACATTCTGTTTCTGTCCACCTTATCTATTCCACGCAGTATTTTGTATGTCGTTATCATATCTCCCCTGACCCTCCTGTCCTCCAGTGTCGTCAAACCGATTTCCCTTGACCTTTTTTCATAGGACATTTCCCTTAGCTCTGGAACCAGCCTTGTTCCTCCTGATGTGTGTGTAAGTGTGTGTGTGTGTGTGTGTGTGTGTGTGTGTGTGTGTGTACACATGAACTTTCCTGTCACTCTTTATGTACGTACTTACATGCAGTGTAAGTACGTACATAAAGTAAGTACGGTAAGTGCGGTGTCCGTCGCTTCTATCAAACTCTTTCTAACAACTCAAGAGTCTACTGGTTTGAGGATAAGAGTTACGATCAAGTGTTTCGCTGGATAATTGCACTGGATAATTTCACTGGATAATTCCTGCTATCCTTGTTTTCCATTTGTCTATAGGATTTTTTCTTTTCAGTGATTATATAGGTGAATACAGGGATGAACTGACGGATCATTCACTATTAAGTAGACAGATTCATCAATTGCATAATAAGATTTGTTTGCGACATCGTTTCTGCACAGTTGTCTTTGTCATCAATAATATCACCAACAACAACACCAGTTACAGGGAGAAGTTGAGCCCAGTTGAGCACGAACGTATTTTGCATTAATTTCCTCAACTCTCTGTTATCAAAATATATTCTATATGTAAGTCAGACAAGGAACGAATGATCACAATAATCACTGAAGCAGTGATATTCTTGAGAAGCGTACAGCCAGAGAGAGAGAGAGAGAGAGAGAGAGAGAGAGGCTGTTGTCCGTCTTGTGGTATAGCAGTTGTTTTTTCACTGTCTTCTGTATTAGGTCTGTTGGAAGATCCTTGAGGTTATTATCGTTGAATATACCAGTGATGCCACTCGTCTCTCCGGTATGGATAGGCTGAAATGAGAGACCCATCCACGATGGGTCGAGGCGAGAGATGAATCGCCTTGCAGTGTCCTCGATCATGATGAGCTCTCTGTTTTTTTTTTTTTTTTTTTTTTTTGCACAGGGTTTCACAAGGTTAAGGATTCCTAACTTCATTGACAAGCTAAGAGCTGTCTGTCTGTCTGTTTGTCTGTCTCTGTCTCTCTTTTTCTGTCTCTCTCTCTGTCTGTCTGTCTGTCTGTCTGTCTGTCTCTCTCTCTCTCTCTCTCTCTCTCTCTCTCTCTCTCTCTCTCTCTCTCTCTCTCTCTCTCTCTCTCTCTATCTCTCTCTCTCTCTCTCTCTCTCTCTCTCTCTCTCTCTCTCTCTCTCCTTCCTTGTTAAATTTATTCTCTAAAGAGACCTCAATTATTTTCAACCAGTCTTAAAAGACCTATCTGTGAGGCTTGAACAAGCCATTTTTTTTCCCTTTGTTCTTAGTCTTCTTGTCCATTTTTCTTGCCCTTTTCTTGTTTCAGGAATTCAATTTAGACTCAAGTATTTTGGTCAGAGGAAAATGCTGCTACATTGTTTTTCCTACGGTCTGCTCCAGTGCTGAAAACTTGACTAATTACACCAGCTTTAAAATCCTCTTAAGATTTCAAAGCTGACACTGAGTTGTAGTATTAGAGAGAGAGAGAGAGAGAGAGAGGAGAGAGAGAGAGAGAGAGAGATGAGATGAGAGAGAGAGGAGAGAGAGGAGAGGAGAGAGAGAGATTGGGTGGCAGTGCAGTCGGAAAACTTGCTGATTTCAGCAACTGCTGACCGGCTAGTGTACTGATTGGCTAGCTGGCTTACTAAAACTGATTCACTGGTTGACTGACTAGCTAGCATACACACACACACACACACACACACACACACACACACACACACACACACACACACACACACACACACACACACACACACACACACACACACATACACACACACACACAGAGGTATGATAAAGCTCACGGCTCAGGGAGAGTGACCTAGTAGCGATCAGTGAAGAGGCGGGGCCAGGAGCTCGGACTCGACTCCCGCAACCTCAACTAGGTGAGTACAACTAGGTGAGTACATACACTTATCAACCAAATAACTGTTGCAGAATATGAGCGACTAGCAAACCTAAGAATTGCTTTCCGACTCCTCAGTAAGGAGTCGTTCAGGACTCTGTACACCGTGTGCGTCGGGCCCATACTGGCGTATGCAGCACCAGTTTGAAACCCACACCTAGTCAAGCACGTCAAGAAATTAGAGAAAGTGCAAAGGTTTGCAACTTGAGTAGTCCTGGAGCTAAGGGGTATGTCCTACGAGGAGAAGTTAACGAAGATTGACCTGACGACAGTGAGGGACAGGAGGGGGAGGGGAAGACATGATAATATATAAAATTCTGAGAGGAATTGACAAGTTGGACAGAGATAAGATGTTTCAGAGATGGGACACAGCGACAGGGGGTCAGAATTGGAAGTTGAAGACTCAGATGAGTCACAGAGATGTTAGGAAGTATATCTTCAGTCACAGTTGTCAGGAAATGAAATAGTCTGAAAAGCGAGATGGTGGAGACAGAATCCATACATAGCATTAAGAAGAGGTATAATAAAGCTCACGGAGCAGGGAGTGAGTGACCTAGTCACGGGCTGTGAATCGACCCCTGCAACCACAATTACTTGAGTACACACACGCGCGCATTTGGTCAATAGGTGTATATAGAAATTAGGATAAAAATGAAATGAGACAATGTGACAATAACAAGTGATAGCCAGTGATAGCTGAATGTATACCACCCAGCTATCACTGGCTGATTTTAATGAGTTTGTATATGATAGTTGTACCTTTGTTTACGAGCGGTTGTTACTCTTCTCACATTCATCATCGGTAATTATTGGCCGGTCCCAGCTCAATTAATAATAATAGGTTTAAAGACTATCTACTGCACGAGGGGTTGGGGTCATTGCCTGTCACCTGTACAACCACCAGTCAGTGAGACTTTAATCTCACTTTAACGATAACCCCTGATAATGGGGATTAATCTCCCAGTGTATATACACAGATATATACAAACCCCCTCGGTGTAAACACCCCTCGATATTAATCTCCAGAGACTGTCAGTTGAATCGGGATCAGAGAAATTTAATTGATCGTAATTTTTTATTGTACATTTAGTGCAAATAAGTTTATTAGTGTTAATATTCTTATTACGATTAATGTTAACATTGTCACTGTTGTGTCTTCCTGCAGGGCGCCCAGAGGATCAGTCTCAGCTACACTCCTAACAAGCCGATGACGGTGAAGCAGATACTGAGGTAAGACTTGGGTATTCAGATCACCCGTACGCGGGAGACCGAAACTTAAGACGATGTTTCGGTCCGACTTGGACCATGAACTAGTCTCCTAGTTGCAGGGTTATTTGTGTATTGTTTCAGTCACGGTATTGTGGCCTTATATTCTTTGTAAGACTCAGGACTGTTAGTTTTTTGGCTGTCTGGTGGACTCCCGGATGTCGACAGTGCTAAAGAGGGTAAACTAATTAAAAATGCTTGCTAGTAAATGTTCTGGTGATACCGATAAACTATGTGGCTTCATCAGTGCCAGTCATTTGGACTAACCAAGCTACTGGTGGCGAAACGTTACCGCTAATAAGCGTCCTGACATGTATACAAGTGTCCCTTTCTCAAGGGTATTTCTGTAACAACTCTATGGTGTATTATGGCAAGAGTGACCTTCTAAAAGTTAAATCAGGATGAAATGCGTACTAGGAGTCTCAACTTTTTCAAGAGTTCTCAAAACACTTTGCAGTCAAAACACAAGCCAGCAGCTCTGTCACTGTACCATGAGTTATAACACAACTCAGCAGCTCTGTCACTGTACCATGAGTTATAACACAAGCCAGCAGCTCTGTCACTGTACCATGAGTTATAACACAAGCCAGCAGCTCTGTCACTGTACCATGAGTTATAACACAACTCAGCAGCTCTGTCACTGTACCATGAGTTATAACACAAGCTAGCAGCTCTGTCACTGTACCATGAGTTATAACACAACCCAGCAGCTCTGTCACTGTACCATGAGTTATAACACAAGCCAGCAGCTCTGTCAATGTACCATGAGTTATAACACAAGCCAGCAGCTCTGTCACTGTACCATGAGTTATAACACAACTCAGCAGCTCTGTCACTGTACCATGAGTTATAACACAAGCCAGCAGCTCTGTCACTGTACCATGAGTTATAACACAACTCAGCAGCTCTGTCACTGTACCATGAGTTATAACACAAGCCAGCAGCTCTGTCACTGTACCATGAGTTATAACACAAGCCAGCAGCTCTGTCACTGTACCATGAGTTATAACACAACTCAGCAGCTCTGTCACTGTACCATGAGTTATAACACAAGCCAGCAGCTCTGTCACTGTACCATGAGTTATAACACAACTCAGCAGCTCTGTCACTGTACCATGAGTTATAACACAAGCCAGCAGCTCTGTCACTGTACCATGAGTTATAACACAACTCAGCAGCTCTGTCACTGTACCATGAGTTATAACACAAGCCAGCAGCTCTGTCACTGTACCATGAGTTATAACACAAGCCAGCAGCTCTGTCACTGTACCATGAGTTATAACACAACTCAGCAGCTCTGTCACTGTACCATGAGTTATAACACAAGCCAGCAGCTCTGTCACTGTACCATGAGTTATAACACAAGCCAGCAGCTCTGGCACTGTACCATGAGTTATAACACAAGCCAGCAGCTCTGTCACTGTACCATGAGTTATAACACAACTCAGCAGCTCTGTCACTGTACCATGAGTTATAACACAAGCCAGCAGCTCTGTCACTGTACCATGAGTTATAACACAAGCCAGCAGCTCTGTCACTGTACCATGAGTTATAACACAACTCAGCAGCTCTGTCACTGTACCATGAGTTATAACACAAGCCAGCAGCTCTGTCACTGTACCATGAGTTATAACACAACCCAGCAGCTCTGTCACTGTACCATGAGTTATAACACAACCCAGCAGCTCTGTCACTGTACCATTAGTTATAACACAAGCCAGCAGCTCTGTCACTGTACCATGAGTTATAACACAAGCCAGCAGCTCTGTCACTGTACCATGAGTTATAACACAAGCCAGCAGCTCTGTCACTGTACCATGAGTTATAACACAACTCAGCAGCTCTGTCACTGTACCATGAGTTATAACACAACCCAGCAGCTCTGTCACTGTACCATGAGTTATAACACAACCCAGCAGCTCTGTCACTGTACCATTAGTTATAACACAAGCCAGCAGCTCTGTCACTGTACCATGAGTTATAACACAAGCCAGCAGCTCTGTCACTGTACCATGAGTTATAACACAAGCCAGCAGCTCTGTCACTGTACCATGAGTTATAACACAACTCAGCAGCTCTGTCACTGTACCATGAGTTATAACACAAGCCAGCAGCTCTGTCACTGTACCATGAGTTATAACACAAGCCAGCAGCTCTGTCACTGTACCATGAGTTATAACACAACCCAGCAGCTCTGTCACTGTACCATGAGTTATAACACAAGCCAGCAGCTCTGTCAATGTACCATGAGTTATAACACAACTCAGCAGCTCTGTCACTGTACCATGAGTTATAACACAAGCCAGCAGCTCTGTCACTGTACCATGAGTTATAACACAACCCAGCAGCTCTGTCACTGTACCATGAGCTATAACACAAGCCAGCAGCTCTGTCACTGTACCGTGAGTTATAACACAAGCCAGCAGCTCTGTCACTGTACCATGAGTTATAACACAACCCAGCAGCTCTGTCACTGTACCATGAGTTATAACACAACCCAGCAGCTCTGTCACTGTACCATGAGTTATAACACAACCCAGCAGCTCTGTCACTGTACCATTAGTTACAACACAAGCCATCAGCTCTGTCACTGTACCATGAGTTATAACACAAGCCAGCAGCTCTGTCAATGTACCATGAGTTATAACACAACTCAGCAGCTCTGTCACTGTACCATGAGTTATAACACAAGCCAGCAGCTCTGTCACTGTACCATGAGTTATAACACAACCCGGCAGCTCTGTCACTGTACCATGAGCTATAACACAAGCCAGCAGCTCTGTCACTGTACCATGAGTTATAACACAAGCCAGCAGCTCTGTCACTGTACCATGAGTTATAACACAACCCAGCAGCTCTGTCACTGTACCATGAGTTATAACACAACCCAGCAGCTCTGTCACTGTACCATGAGTTATAACACAACCCAGCAGCTCTGTCACTGTACCATTAGTTACAACACAAGCCATCAGCTCTGTCACTGTACCATGAGTTATAACACAAGCCAGCAGCTCTGTCACTGTACCATGAGTTATAACACAACCCAGCAGCTCTGTCACTGTACCATTAGTTATAACACAAGCCATCAGCTCTGTCACTGTACCATGAGCTATAACACAAGCCAGCAGCTCTGTCACTGTACCACGAGTTATAACACAACCCAGCAGCTCTGTCACTGTACCACGAGTTATAACACAACCCAGCAGCTCTGTCACTGTACCATGAGTTATAACACAAGCCAGCAGCTCTGTCACTGTACCATGAGTTATAACGCAAGCCAGCAGCTCTGTCACTGTACCATGAGTTATAACACAAGCCAGCAGCTCTGTCACTGTACCATGAGTTATAACACAAGCCAGCAGCTCTGGCACTGTACCATGAGTTATAACACAAGCCAGCAGCTCTGTCACTGTACCATGAGTTATAACACAAGCCAGCAGCTCTGTCACTGTACCATGAGTTATAACACAAACCAGCAGCTCTGTCACTGTACCATGAGTTATAACACAAGCCAGCAGCTCTGTCACTGTACCATGAGTTATAACACAAGCCAGCAGCTCTGTCACTGTACCATGAGTTATAACACAAGCCAGCAGCTCTGTCACTGTACCATGAGTTATAACACAAGCCAGCAGCTTTGTCACTGTACCATGAGTTATAACACCTACCAGCTGCTCTGTCACTGTACCATGAGTTATAATACAAGCCAGCAGCTCTACCACTCTACAGTGAGTTATAACACAAGCCAGTAGCTCTACCGCTCTACAGTGAGTTATAACACAAGCCAGCAGCTCTATCACTGTACCATGAGTGACAGGGCATTGTCATGGAAAAATATGTTATAAGAACATAAGAACATAAGATGATAGGTTTTTTCTCCTTTACCACCATTTTTATCTCATCATTCCACCAGTCATTCCTCTTACCACCTACACCCACCCTCCTTTAATTTTTTTTGTATACCCTACCTCCTCGACCTCTGCCTCCTTACTCTCTCTCTCTCTCTCTCTCTCTCTCTCTCTCTCTCTTCTCTCTCTCTCTCTCTCTCTCTCTCTCTCTCTAGCCCACCTTTCAACCTCTGCTCATACCTATTAACAATCTCTTTATTTCATTCTCATTCATTTTTATTTTACATACTGACACCTTCCTCCTTATACTCCATCTCCCTCTGACTCTCGTTGTACTTACTACTACTGACTGAAGTACGAGTCACTCCTCTAGAAACATGCACATCAAGAAGTTTACCCACCAATTCAAAGCCTAGCAGACAGCTGTCCTGAACACTTAATCATATCTCGCATATTTATTTATCCTCTCTAAATAAAAAATAAATATTACCCTTTAGGAAACCCCATTTTATGTACAGTTCGAGGTCCCTTCCTCACTAACCCCTGGCACTCCAAACTTATCTACTGCGCTCTTTACAAGTATCTCTCCCTCCTTTGCATTAACGTCGCTCTTCGATTTATTTATTTTAATCAGGGGGAAGTGCTAAACCCTTAAGGGTCACATAGCACCTAGAGAATGGATGGCAATTAAGTTCGATCCAAGGGAGAGGAAAAATAAGTCCAGTTCATTGCATCAAGCGCCCTTCACTGACAACTATGCACCTCACTTGACGGGGATCTCTCTTAAATTCTTTCTCACTTGGTTCAAAACTTTAAGAATATTCTTTTAATTCACGTGGCGTCCCGTTGTCTGCTGCTGATTTTTCCTTGTCTGACGACTGGCTAATGGCTGGCGACTGGTCAATGGCTGGCGACTGAGTAATGGCTGGCGACTGGTCGATGGCTGACGACTGACTAATGGTTGGCGACTGGTGGAAAACAGGCGACTGGTAGATGGCTGTAGGCTAGCTAATGACTAGCGATTGGCCGATGGCTGGTTACTGGCCCCTGGAAATAGGTTAGGTAAGATCGTCGACAGGAAACAGAACAAGTGCTTCCTGACGCCACTGGAGCATT